TGTGGCGATATTGACGCCTGATTTGTTTCATTCCGCCATTGCATGATAAGAAGCAATCTTGATCATCTAGGACACGAAATCAATGAGCTGATGACAGGGCTCTGTTTGCATTACGATTAAAAACAAACTCTTAGCAAACACTCACTGAATCAAACACTGCTCAGATGTAAATATGGTAAAATGGTACATTGGTAGTCAATCAGTTTAAATTAGACAGTTTTAAGAGATTGGTCACAACCACTGCAGACATTATCTGTTTGATTTGAGTGCTTTTGTAGGTTTAACTACATTCCATAAAGGGATTTAATCAGAATTTTCAAATGTGCCCTGCATGAAAAGCATAATTGGAAAAAAAAAAACCTCTTTGCCCAAAGTAAGCATTTCTAAATTTAGTATTACAGACGAATTCAAACATTGCATTCAGTGTCATAGTCAGGTGTACATTCGGGATTAGATCGGAATAGAGAGTTTGGTTCAATGACATCTTGAACACTGTTCCATATCCTGGTATGGTACAAAAGCCTGGTAGGATGCAGCTCTTAAACTTTTTTCATTTTGACGAAACCCACAACAGGGGCTGACAAATCTAGAAACATGATCTGGGAGAATTTGGGATTTGAATCCAGGCCATAGGTTTCTGGCATGAATAAACGACCTCACTCAGAAAAGCGAATTACAGCACCTAAGACAACTGGGTTCACAGGCTTTGTTCCGTGAATAAGCCAATCAATAAGCAACACATACTGTCTCTCTGGTACCATTCACATAATGCAATATGGTTATTAATTAATCATTGTTCAAGGTAAATACAGTACTTCATTACAAAGGAAAAAATAAACACTACAAAGAATACCCTCACTACTCATGATTCACATCTCTTTAGTAATAATGAGATGTCTAACTGATATATTGACACTTAAGTGATCACATGAATGAACAAATACGACATAACAGTGGATTAAATTTACCTTGTTGTTTGTTGTCTACCTAGTGTCATCACTGATTTTCAGTGTTCATATAATCACTGCTTTTTATTTTACTTCTTATATAATATCTGGTTATTCTCTGGCATTCACATTATTAAATTCATCTATAGAATTTTGTTTAAATACAGTGAGTTAGTTTTACGTCACATTTAGCAATATTCCAGCCAATACCATGGCAGGGAACACCAAAAATGTGGGGAATCGAACCAAGGTCTTTGGCATGACGAATGCTTTAACCACTAGGCTACCCCACTGCCCTGTATAAATACAAACACACCTGAAACAGAAGTATCTTCTTATATATTTTCACTGGTTACGCAAAGTCAACATTCCCATGTGAATCTTAAAGAAAGAAGACTGTATCCGTAGACAAAAAACTCTTCGTAAAACTCAATCTGTGCATTTTAGATTTAATTTCACCATTCAAATTATGTCATATGACATGTAGGATACACATAGAATTCCTGTATGAATACCAGATAATAGTTAGAACGCAATGTGCACAAGAACTTCAAGGCAACGACACAACAATACACTATATGACGCACTGCCAGAGACGTGTATGACCTACAGGGCACTGTACACAGCTCTGGGGCCAATCCAAACTGGGCTTCCATATACCGAACTTGCTTCAAGACAGTCCAAACCGAAAGGCCTTTTGATACAAGTTATGAGTGATGTCTGAACCTAATTCAACAAGCTGAAAGGCTTGTATGTTGGCTTCATAAAATGATTGTGTACAGGTAATACTGTCGCAACATTTCACATCTGGATTAATGAAAAACCCTTAGCTACATGTCATGAGGAAAAATTAGGTTGCCGAGATTACAATGTTTGACAATGAACCTGATCAGTGGCACAATAGTAGCAGGTGCTTGGTACAGGTCAGTAAGACGATATTCCCTTGTCAATAGATCATAGATATTCAGTGGCATAGATTATCTCTATAGTTAATTATGGGTTCATAATACCTTGGGGTATAGACCATTGTATATGAAGGAGAATGGTATTATCTCCGAGGACAAACAAACTAAATTGTTTAATGTAATATATAGGCCATAACTCATGTTAACCGTGTCCAATAACGTTGTGTGTATATAATTAGGCGTTGTATAATGTGCCTGTATAATGGCCAGGGAGACAGATCACACTTATCCTTGTCAGTATATATCTATGTTTTAGGGGTATCGTTCAGCAGTTTTCAAGATAAAAATCAACTTTGCAACTAGAGAGGATATGCAATTTTTAAAATGCAATAAACCAGTGTTTCCAAGCATATTGTGAAACTCTTCACTAGTATTTAAAATTGTGGAAACTCTTCACTAGTATTTAAACTTGTGGTTTACAGGTTATATATGTATATCTTCGTGTGATAATACTTATTGTGATCTTGTGAGCTAAGTTTGGTAAGTGACAAGACAAACTGAAATTAGCAACTGATTCTTGTGACTAAAGAAGCAAAACTAAACTACCGAGCAAACGAAGTTATCACTGTTCAAGTAAGTGTATAAAAAACAAAAATGCTGGTACAGGTTTGAACCCTAACAGAAACATTCGCCAAAACGCAATAACAATACAGCTGTCAAAAGACTTTGTACGAATCGTGCATTTTTCAAAACATGAAAAATGTAATTGTGGGACATTGGTATTAATATACGGGCATGATTGTGCCATAAATACTGATGTTGGTCAGAGCAGGCATGCAGGAACCAAAAAAACACCACAAATATGCCAAGACATACACAAGCACTACGAGACAGGGTAATCAGTATGGCCAATATGGGGGCTATACAACGGCGGCGACAACAACAGGACACGCCATCAACAAATGATCAATCATTCGACAACTTGGTATGGCTGGTATACAAGCCTACCACGCCTTCAGTGAAATGGCTTTGGCCTGGCTAAACCATCAACGCAGACGAAGAGATGTCAGTTTTTCAATGTAGAGGAGAGCGACTGGTGCCAAACTGCGCTCAAGAAGCTCATCCGTTCGATGGAGAAGGCATCGTGGTATGGGCGGCATTTGTGTCCAGAGAACAAGACTGGTGCCAAATGATACAGGGATGAAGTGTTGCAACCTTTATTCGACTACAGCCAAGAATAGTCATTTTCCAACACAACAACACAAGGCCACACACCACCAGAATTGTTCGAATATACCTGCAACTTTAACGTCAACATATTGCCTTGGCCAGCGTGTTCTCCAGACATGAACCCCATTGAACGTCATTGGGATTATCTTGATCATCAGCTGAGACAGCGTATACCACCTCCAGCAAACCGACAAGAATTTGAACAGACTCTCTTGGACTTATGGAACCGGATTCCTGCTTACCTCATCGGCATAAACAGTGCCTAATATGTAAGCATAGTGACTGTACTAACGTCCAACAGTATGCCTGAATGAAGTTGTCAAATAGGTGAGGGAAAATGGCTCTAACATTTTGGTTACTCACCTCAAGGTCAATACCAACCACTAATCACATTTACAGATAATGATTTTTACAAGATGGATTTTTTTAATTTGAAAATATTCATATTTTTATACTGAAATGTCATAGACTGGTTGGTAATTGAACATTTAAGATTTTTGTGAGAAATTAAACAATCCCAACCCCTAACTATCATCAACACTGTGCAGGGCCCCGTTCCTCAAAGCAATTGCAGTCGTTATGACAGTCGTAAGTCTATGTTAAAGTAAGGGATTTACGATCATCTTAGTGCTACGATCGCTTTGTGGAACGTGACCCAGGTTCATAACCTATATGGAACAAAGCTTCTGTAAAGGTCTTTGTCACCTCTCTTGCTTTCTGTCCCCGAGCGCTATAGCAAAATGCCATATTTTAGAGGCAGTACTGGGACAATGTTACTGCTCACAATGAAAGAATTCGATTCATGGACACATAGCAATGGACTCTCTATCATTGGTCCAATATATACTCCTCACAAAATGTTAAGCAACACAAATTTGTAGTCTCATTACAATTTCATTTATTGAAATTGCAAATCACTGAATGATGCAATAGAAAGGTGAAACCTATGTACACACGATTAGCAAAATGAAATGAAATAGTTTTGAGCAATAATAGACTTACAAATCATCAAAAGCATGTACCATGAAACAGTCGTGCAAAATGTGCTGCATTGATGGAGCAAAATGTTAACATTAAGGTTCAAGTCAGCTTTGGACAGTGAAGCAGTGTTCAGTAATCCAGTATGACTACCATGAGCACAAATGCAAGCCTCCACAGGTCTTTGCATTGACCAAATGAGCCTTTAAAGTTGCTGTTGTGGAATGTTCTGCCATCTCTCTGTAACGCCTGCTCAAGGTCATCCAGAGTCTGAGGGTGAACATGGAGACCGTAAAACACGACTACCAATAATGTCCCAAGCATGTTCAATTGGATTCAGATCAAGTGACCTTGCAGGCCAGTCCATATGTGTGATGTTGTTGATCTAAACAACATCGTTAACAACTCTTTCTCGGGCATTATCATCCATAGACGGGCATTTTCATCCATAAAAAATGAAGTTAGGACCCGCTTGTTGTGCCAGAGGAATGATTACAGGTAGGTTTACACCAATCAGGGTGCATGTGTGAAGAGGGGAGCACATTCATGCCACACATTTTGCATGTTGTTTCTGAGGGTGGTTGTGTTCGAGTGATGTTGTCAATGTTATGAGATAAAACAATTTGACAGTCACTTAATGTTATGTATTCTTTCAATATTTACCTTTCAGTAACATGTCGGCAAAAATCGCTATCGAGATTGATAAGAATATTACACTGAAAATACTTGTTGCTTAATTTTTTGTGAGGAGTATATATTTGATGACAGTAAGTGGTTTAATTGTTTAACTCAATATAATGTTAAAGCTGACATTTGAAAAATAGGCTACCTTAATACAAGGAATGCTCTACATGTCATAAAACAATTGAATGAAGATAATTGACGTATCATTATGAACGTCTTCCTGCTGTGATGAACAATGTTAAATGCAATTACATACCTTTCATAAGTCTGCTTCATCTTTTTACACGCAACATACGTCCCATCTTCCTTATTTTGGCACTTGAGTACATCAGAAAAGGTACCTTCACCTTTTTTGCCTAATATCCTGTATTCTGAAACAGAATTAACACATCTAAGTCAAGGGATGTAAACAGTATACAGTAGAACACGGATATAACGAACTCCAAGGGACCAAGAAATTTAGTTCGCTATATCCGTTGTTCGTTATTCACATTTGACCGCCATCTTGGGATTGTAGAGATGTAGACATTCACAGACATTACCTATATCATGTTGATAAATATGAAGTTTACTTTTATAATAAAATTGAAATAATACAACTACAACTTAAATAAATTTATTTTTTAATGAAAATGCAAGCTTACATTTACCACGAAAGAAGCAAAAATTGTAGCGAGTTTTTTTCCATTTGTGACATGTCATAACATGCCCGTGGCTTTTTCTATTATATTTTTATGTAATCAGGCTTTCCGTTCGTTAACATGACACAACAACGGGAAATACCTCCGTTTTCGAAGCTTCGTATGAATAACATGCGACGCGAATCGTGTGGTGTCTGGTATCGTTCGACAGCTCTGGAAAATCAACAATATCACTGTACCCTTGCCGAGAGTATTTTCACAGTTGTAAAAAGCGATTTTATTGGATAAAGATTGGTTTCTAATGACGCTTTTTCGCCACAGTCTGCTATAAGGATCGTGATTGGTCAAAATCAGACACGTGACCTAAGGCAGCCAATCATACTACGGCAATGGATACCGTCCTCGTCAACGAGGTGTTGAATGGGTTAAACACGATATATTTGTTTTGTTAATTAATTAATGACCATCAAACAATGTTGATTCACCGCCAACAAGATTGATGTATACTGTACCGCTAAGTGGCTGAGCTGACACTGAGTGAATTCGCTAATCACGTCGTTAATTGGGTCTTGGGGGTAGTAAATCAGTTCGCTATAGCCGTTAATTCGCTACTCACGAGTTCGTTATTCACGTATAATTTTAATGATATTATAAAGGACTGTTGACGGGACTTTTAAATCTGTTCGCTATATCCGTTTGTACGCTATATCCGTGTTCGCTATAACCATGTTCTACTGTATAAGGAACAATCCGGTGGGAGGGGCGGAGTGGAATTTCAGTTAGAGATGGGATCTTTTTAGGTCACAGCTTCAACAGGTTTTTCTGTGATAAGTGGAGAAAACAATAAAATATTTTCTCACAATCTATTTTTTTTCTGTAAACGGGAGATATATGGCGGTGGTCTGTTAATAACTGAGTCTGGACCAGACAATCCAGTGATCAACAGCATGAGCATCGATCTGCGTAATTGGGAACCGAGCGAGCCTGAACTTCGGATCCCGTTAGTCGCCTCTTACGACAAGCATGGGTTTCCTGAAGATCAATATTCTAACCCGGACCTTCACGGGTCAAACATTTTGGGGGACATTGTGGATATGACAGCAACTTTAAGGCATTAAAACTTCAGATGAATCAAGTTCATCCATGAGTTGTCCACGATATATCATATCAGAAGAAGTGTTTAAAGAGGATTGGCTGGTTAGATTCCGCAACTTGCCTGACCACGTGACATAGTGCCCTGATGGTTATGGATAGCTGTTCGTGCTTTCAGACACTGGTCTGTCTGGACCAGGTTTCAATATTCACATGGTGGTATAACACATCAGAAAAACAATTATGCCTTGGACTCTACATATTCTAGCTGCAATATATTCCTCTTTGCAGATGTTATAGCAATAAAAGGGACTTAACTCTGATGTGTAATGACAGCTTGATTTAAGAGTATGCATGTGACTATCCAGGATTTCTTATGAGGAAGTACTCCCACTTAGTTGCTATATCAACCACATTGATTAATTCATTCATGAGGGTCGTTCCAGGTACTTTCCTGTACAAAGAAAGGAATGTCAAAAAAGGTTGTCTGAGCCTACAATAGCATGACCATAGGAACTAGTACTGAGTGATGTCGATTTTTATCTTGTTTAATATTGCACTCAGAAATATTCCAGCTATTGACAACAGTCTGTAAGTAATCGTATCTGGTTTGGAGAATCCAGTATATGACATCACTGATCTACTCTAATGTGATATGAAGACATGCATCAGCAAGGTCTGCAAGCCTGACCACGTCACATCTCACAAGTATGGTTTGCTGCAGAACAATCTTCAAGGGGCTGAGTGACATTTCGATAACCAGTATTTAATTATTTTTTTCCATTGAAGTCTTTGTTTCCCGTTTCCATGTTACAAATAAATGATCACATGTTCAATATGCATTTGAAAGAAATATCATGTATAATTTAAGTTCAGAGTTTACACATCACTGCAGAATTATTGCAGATGTTGTGTACATACAGCATAAAATATGGTAAGACTACAGAATACGGGATACCTTCCGCCATCTTTGAAAGCACGTAAGTTTACTTTTGGTTAGGGTTAGGGTAAGGTTTAGGTTTAGGTTTAGGTTTAGGTTTAGGGTTAGGTTAGGGTAAGGTTTAGGGTTAGGGTTAGGGTAAGGGTTAGCATTAGGGTTAGGGTGGCATGACACTAAACAATATGGCTGGTAGGTATCCAGTATTCTGTAAGTGTACCTAAAATACAATGATAAGGTAGACACAACAAGTGAATAAATATATGACCGGTATACAAATTGCCATAATCTGTTATACAATCTGATAACCAGTATAAAATGATGTATTGAAATCTGTTGTTCTTTCCATTTGTTTTCAGTCATAATAATGGTTATTTGTTACTCAATCACTGGTAGATCGCTGAGAACAGGTGTGTACAGCTGATAACTAATAACTTATTTTCACAATTACAAATGGCAATATTAATCGATGCACATAAAACAATGCCCGACATAAAGCAACTGCAACTGAAATGTAAATCATCATGTCTAATGGTGTGTTATTTCTCTTGACCAAGATCTCCCATTTGTTCCCTTGAAGCTATATGTTATAGGTTTTGACTACACACAATGTATGAAATGGTGATTCTTCTTAAATAATTGCACCAGAGAATGGGAGGTGCACATATATGCTTGAGTGAGCACTAGATACACAAGAAAAGATGGTAACAAACACAAATTCTCTCATTGTTTTCATACCAAACAAAGATTCACTGAATAGTAGTGAGACAATTTGTGAAAATATTCATGACTGTCATAAGAATGAATTAATGAATAAGCAAGGCTTTGAACCACTTTTAGCAATATTCCAGTAACATCACAGCAGGGGACACCAGAAATGGGCTTTACACATTCTTCTCATGTGAGGAACCAAACTCAGGTCTTCGGGGTGAAGAGCAAATACTTTAACCATGAGGCTACCCCACCACCCTGACTGGCATAAGACACTTGGAAGTCGTCTCTTGTGCTTGTTGGTTGGTTTGGGTTTTGAGCCGCACTCAGCAATATTCCAGCTATATGGAGGAGGTCTGTAAATAATCGAGTCTGGACCAGACAATACAGTGATCAACAGCATGAGCATTGTTCTATGCAATTAATACACGGTGAAATGTGTCAACCAAGTCAGCGAGTCTGACCACCCAAACCCGTTAGTCACTTTTACGAAGAGCATGGGTTGCTGAAGACCAGTTCTAACCCGGATTTTCACGGGTTCCTGTGCTTGTAGTAAGAGGAAACTGAATGGATCAGGTAGTCCGGCTCTGTGACTAGGCTGGTTGTGTCATCATGCCCTGGCAGTCTAGGCTGTTGCTTACATCAAACACTGGACCTGATGCGATTATTTACATAATGTCATAATTAGGGCTGTAACGATGCATTGATGCATTGAACTATCAATGGATTGCAATTGTTGAGTCTCCAATAGCAATTAACTGATGGGAGAAACGAAAAACTATTGATGCATCGATAGTATGTCTGACTATCGATAGTTTAGTAAATGACTTCCGGTGATAAACCTAGCAGCGCAAAATACAAGAAGTACCAGATTCGTTCACTTTGATTTAGAGTTATCCACCCCTGTTACCTCTTGAACAAACTTAATCTGGGTTTCAAGTTTCTTGTCAGTTATCAAAAGAGACTGAAAGTACTTCAGTTTGTTTTTATTTAGTATAAACTAAACATTCATTTGGGAAATGACTTCAAATGAGACAATTCAAGGAGAGAAAAAAACTATTGCAAAAGTACTGCAATAGTTGGTTGAAATAGACTATTGCTATCGCAATAGTTGTTTCCCCCTTAGTAGTCACCGCCACTCATAATACGAACGGAATATTGTTGACGGTAATATCAACGTCGAGGGTGCGTGAACTAAAAACAGTTGTAACTAAAATATGGTTCCATTACTGAATATAACAAACAGATGCTTTGAAAGTCGACATATATTTTTTCAAAGTACACAGTCTTTCAAATTTGCAGCAAATACTCATTAACAAATAGTAATTACATCAGCAAATATAACTAAAGGGAAATATTGATCTTGCTTAAAGGGCAAGGTGCTGTAGATACAAGAATAATGAAGTATGTATGTAGGTGGTCTGAGGTCTTTTAAAGATTAATGAAGAGATTGCGTTGGGCAGCACACACAGTTGTGATAGCTAAACACTGAATGTAGAAGGATAACCAACACTGTCACTTCTCTGTTGATCTAAAGACTCTGAAGCATAGGCTCCTATATTTTATTTATGTCATAAAGAGATAATACCTTTCAGAGAAGACCCTTAAGATACAGCCACAATGACAAGGTTCTGAAGCTCACCCGAACTATTAACATGCGCTTTGAGCATGTCCCCCAGTGATGTGGAACTAGCGCCATATACATATCCTTAGTATCATTATTATGTTTCAACCCTATTAAAAGTAAGTGAGTATGTTATAACTCTCTTTTCAGCAATATTCCAGCAATGTCGTGGCAGGAGACACCAGAAATGTGATTCCACAGAAATGTGATGTGATTGTAGCTATGAGAGGAATTGAACCTGGATCTTTGGCCTGAGGAACGAACACACAACCTCAAGGCTAACCTACTGCTCTCCCATATAATTAGTATTTTGTTATCATGCATGTATGTTATGTGTACAAAATCATCATAGGCAAGCTAAACATGCTATGGTCTATGGTCCAGAACATTTTGTAATATACCCTTTCAGTAATGTATTGACTACCGTATATTACAGTCTATAAGCCGACCCCATAGATAAGCCGACCCCCAAACTTGACCCTTAAAATCAGTGTCAAAATGATATGCATAAGCCGACCCCACGCGATGGGGTCCTAATCGCGGCAAACACAGACCACTGGCGGTTACCAACAATTATAATTTTGGTCCACATTATTCAAAAAATTCAGAATCATATTGTGTCTACTCACGCATCGAAATGAAGTGTAGTTGACAGAAAATGGATACTATATTTTGTTTCGCTAAATGTCATACATATTGTAGTTAGACGATAACATGTCAACAAACTGGCTTGCTGATTACGGCCTTGTTTTCCATGGACAGCTAGTTTACAATATTCTGTATTATATTTTACTGATGACTGCGCCAGAATTCATCCCGCTATATTATTGTGCATGTTTGAACTTGATCGCCAGGAAATGTGTGCACAGCTGATTGTACGATAAATGTCATAATGACTAATATGTAATATGTTGAAATAATGAAAACGTACAGGTTAATATGTATTTTATTCATCATTCACAACATAAACGCTGTAATCGTGGCAAACATCCTGGCAGATGTACCAGTAACCTGTAACATCGTCCTGGCAGGGCACTGGCGAGCTAAAAATATTTCCGTGAAATTGTATCTCATAGATAAGACGACCCCCTTCTACAGACATATTTTTTGGTCCTCAAAATTCGGCTTATAGACGGTAATATACGGTATGTTATGATGGTATGTTAGGAACAATGTATACTGTGTTACTACAGTGTAGTGTAGTGTAGTGTAGTGTAGTGTAGTGTAGTGTAGTGTAGTGTAGTGTAGTGTAGTGTAGTGTAGTGTAGTGTAGTGTAGTGTAGTGTAGTGTAGTGTAGTGTAGTGTAGTGTAGTGTAGTGTAGTGTAGTGTAGTGTACAGATGACATGTAAGATTTATTGTTATTTGACATAAACTGATGTGACCTACCAGGTCAGTAATCATGATTGTTGCACAATGTGGGACACTAATTACTTTGACTTTGTCAAACACACTGTTATCCCTAACATCCAAACATTCAAGTCATAACATTATGTTTAATCTTCAGATCTCATCCATCTGCAACATTTCAACCCACCATGGTCTGATGATACGACCAGATATCACACCTCAGGCCAGTTGAGTATAGTTCAACCATTTTGAAAAGTATTTAAGTTATACCACAGCATGGCACCTTGTTCGGGATGCAATTCAAGGTGAATTAGATGTTAGACATATGTATGGCTATGGGTTTTTTAACAGAAACCTACAATCATTATCAGGGCCATCTCTGCTTTGTCCCCAAAACCATAGGATGCAACTTTGTACAGCATTAGGCCATATAACATGACATCACATCACATCTTGGGTTTTAGCTTTACTCACTGTAGAAACTATATTTACAACATATATTTCATTGAGAAAAATACCTCATACAGCAAAAGTGAAGAAGTCAAATATTATACAAAATGGAAGCTTTACCGTGGTCCTGCTGATGAATTGCAGAAGAACATACACCATACATGAAATAGGGACAAGATATCAGAGCTTAATTGTTCTGGATGATATAACAAAGACGAGATCTAGGCCTATATGACATGATAACAACATATCTTGGTCTTCATTATATTAATAGGACAACAGATCTTCATCTGGATGATATAACAAAACTAATGTCTTATCTTGGTCAACAGATGGATGATATAAAAAGAATTAAAACCAGATCTTCATCTGGATGATATAACAAAACCAATTTTAGGACTGGATTGTATCACAAAACAATCAACTTCAAGACCTAATTCTTGGTGTTAACAGCAATACATTTTGCTTTGATATGGATGATATAACAAATATATCACACCTGCATCTGTATATGAAAACCAGTTTATCATTCTTGGGTATGGATGATGTATCTAGCATATCATACCTTAGTTTTAGTATTAAAACCAGTGAAGATCATTGGTTACAGCTGCAGCTGCTTCAAGACAACTATACAATGTGTTAATAGGCATGCTACATTTTTACTAAACATCAAATTGGGTAAAGTGACAGTATCAATATGGCTGCCACAGCAGCCATACTTAAAATTAGGTAAGAATTCCAAAAGATGTCCTTAAAAACAAAATTGTTTCAACTTACAGAAGGTTCAGAGGAGATTCTAGATAAACATGGATATGTGAAGGGTAAAGGTATAAGTTGGTCAAACAAAATGTATAAAACAACAATAAAAACTCCATGCTTTACTGTAAGCACCGTTCAGCTCAAACACATACACAGTTGTGGTACTTAAACTCTTAAGTATAGTATCAGTCTTGAAATTAACACCTTGGTTTACTGTGCATATTGCTCACACCAGCTTTTACACATCCACTTATCCGCTTGTTTTGAAAACCCACGAAGACAGATCCATATCATGCCTTGTTATGTGAGACTAAGGTATGGCCCCCCTCGGCTGGTCCACACTGAAGGGGTGATAGTGTCTATTCATAGCCTGATCACCCTCATACAAAGCAGTGTCTACAAGCACTGGCACAAGTCATAACAGAAGAGGTGTGTTGATATATAGACCCTTCTTCATTGGTTATACTTATTGCCAATGTGTAATAAACCTTTCTTTATTTGCGTCATAACTGTCTTATACACCATCTCGTTTCTGTCAAAAAGATAAGGGTTCTCAAAAGTGCTTACAACCTCCATGTACAAACATGCAAAAGAAATTAAACAAAACAAAAAGTTATGTGGATGTTTATCTATTAAGCAGAATTTCTGCACTTTTTATAAGCAGTGTGAACTATTTTTTTAAGTATATTTTTGTCACATGACAATTATATAATCTCTTTCAACCTTTCCTCTGTAATAATAGTCACAGACAATAGTGAGTGAGTATATGAGTGAGATTTAAATCTGCTTTGAACTGTATTTCATATACATCACAGGGGCAGCAAGGTAGCCTTGTGGTTAAAGCGTTCGCTCATCACGCCAAAGACACAGGTTGGATTTCCCATGTGGGTACAATGTGTGAAGCCAATTTCTGGTGTCCCCTGCCATGATATTTTGCTAAAGGTGGCATAAAATTAAACTCACTCACTCACTCATACATCAAAGCAGATCAGCCTCATACGGAGGAAAGCCTTGAGTGATACCGGTCTGAGAAAGAAATCACTATAACTGATATGATACTGTAAACATTGATCCATAATCAGGGCAATTTGCCTCATTCCTAACTAATCCCCCTTGCTCTGCATATCTAATGACTATACCCATACCAGTGTCTCTGTGTATCCAATGACTAATACCGTTTGACATTTCTATTCATCACATTGATATGACCGTTATATGCATTTCAGCTTAATTTCTCAAAGAGTGAGTCAGTGAGGGTAGTTTTACATAGGCAATATTATAGATGGACCTAAGAGACTGGTCACTAATTTTCAGGGTTGGGAACATGTAACAGGCCAAAGAACAATCTCAACCACCCACCCCATAAATTTAGGTCAAAATTATAGCCATGAAATCCAGATGCATGTTATAAATTACAGCTGTTCTGATAATATGTGTTATAAATTACAGCTGTTCTGATAATATGTGAAAAAGGATACAATCAAACATAATCAGATAATATTATAACTTATATTTATTCAAGAAATTGTATTTATTTTGTCTATTTGAGTACTAAAAGTTGTTCTAAAACAACTGTTGAATAAGTGTAAAACTTAATAATAATTGATGAACCATGATTTGTCTGAAAGGGGGTAAATATGATTCTTATTCCACGTTTCCCTGGATGACAATAAACCTTACTAATATGTGATAAAATACAAACAACAAAATCCATACAAAACAATGTGTCTACTTGTATCTCAACATACATTTGGATGTATTACAATGTATTGTATTACATGTTTTTAAAACCCACATCAATCTGTGGTTTAACTCACAATATCACATCACATTGTTGGTCTGTTGTTTCTTGTTATCAGAATTACTATCTTTCACCATGTGAACAAGAGCTTGAGAATATACCATATTCCCACCCTGACGGGGCAACAAACACCCACATCTTCCTGTTATTCTGCAAATCATGGGCTAACCTTGTTTAACTAATGAGTTAATGTAATAGTGGGAGATCAGTACTAATACCTTATCAACTGAACACACCTTGCCTCACATCTGACAAAACACATTTTAATTGTACAGTTAATGGCTCTATAAAACATTTTCCACTGAGATGTTTTTAAATCATTTGCATTATATATTGAAAAATAAATATAACCAGCCATTGAAACCCTAACTGGTAAACACTGCCATTCGTTCAAAACAATACAGCACGCGTTGCCCACTGAGTATTGAAAATTCCATTTAGTGATAGTATCAACAAGCAATTCCTGCTTTTAGTGTGTTCCCGTTGCAAGGGACGCCTTGATCACTTACTTTGTGACAGCAGGTTCATCCGGGCGAAGTCTGTTGTGACATCGAACAAAGAAATGGTCAAACTAAATTCATGATTGTGTTAAAACAGTCGCCACAGATATATTCATTTTAAAATCCTCGAAATGCCAAGCAGGCGTATAAATCCATGTTGCCACTCGTTCGATTAACATTGAGCAGTCTGTCACAACATAGACCTTTGACCTTTCTGTTCCGATTCTTACACCGCATTAATTGCCTTGGGTGGGATTGGGGGTAGAAGGGTATTACTATAAATGCATAACAGTAATCGAATCAGGAGAGCAGGAACGTCTGCTGCGATTTGTTTGTTTAGAGATTACAGTACAAATGCGATAGAACTCGGACTATATTAAGCGCGGAAGGATAACTCTTGCTAATTGTTCGGTCTCGTTCGCGGTACGTCGTCTGCAAAGGGAACGAGTACCTGCGAAAGAAAGTGACATACATCGCTATGACGACAGTACACAAAGATTCGTTTGAGAGTATTATTAATGGGATTCGTAAGACACTACTATATTAATGCATGTTATAGGGACGTACAAGGATGTTGTCTACATCGAGACTTGTCTGTGATATTGATAACTTCGGCACCCAGTCGGCATGACTCCGCGCCTAGTGACGGGACGCTCCGCTAATCGTCGTCAAGTTGTGAGGCGGCGGGTGAATTCAGGACGTGTTCTGGGATTTGAACGTGTTCCGTTTCACGTGATAAATATTAAAAGACAGCATTAAAGTTGTACGACCTCACTGGATCAGCGAAATCGTTTCAGTAATAACAATCGTGAATGTCATGATCAAATGTGGGTAGCCTGTCAATTGTTCGTTGATTTCACATCCAGCGTTGTTCCTGGTTACCTCATAGCTTGATAGTTCAGAGGTGTGGCGACGCATCTCTTTTTCCGAAATTCCTTTCCCCAGAACGTCAACTGAGATCCCTGGAACCGATTATCTGGTTCCATCCGTTCTGGTCTCTCGTATTGCATTCCGAGATCGAATCTAAATTTTGCCCCCTTATGATCCTTGGTCTTATCAGCATCAGCTTGTTACTTTCACTTCGTGTTTTCTACTTACATTATATAATTGTAATAAACTGACACATTTTTCAAAGCGGCGTTAAACCCAAATCACCGTTGAGAAATAGAATGGCGTGGGAAAAACGAAGAGTACGAAGAAGCCAAAACAATTATTTGCAGCTATTGTAATGTGTAATGATTATTTTGGACCTATAATTTTAAGTAGCGTGCGTAGTTTGGTTTGTTGTTGTTTAACGTCACACTCAGCAATATTCCAGCTATTAGGCGTCGGTCTGTAAATAAACGAGTCTGGACCACACAATCCAGTGATCAATAGCATGAGCATCGATCTACGCAATTTGTAAAGGTGTAGTAGCGTGATTGCGCGTCCCATTTGTGCATGCACTGCCTGACATGGGGCAGCAGGCATACTTCATGGTTCAAGGATGTATAGATAAGCCGTCTGCACCAGATCGACGCTCAAACTGTTGCATTCACAGCTGTTGCCGGCACGGGTTCACATCTTTCAGGGTGAGCCGCAAATCATCGTTGCATTTTGTACTTTTTTTGTAATTATGTGCTGTTTTGAATATCCATATCATGAATGGGAGCTGCGGAGCAGACAAAAATATTGGAGATCTTACATTTCTTGGGTCGATGGGGGCCAGCGTAATTGATTATATTATTGCATCATCATGTCTGTTCTCGTCTTGTACTGACTTCAATATACAATCTCGCACAGAGTCCACGCACCTCCCAGTCACGATGAAATTGGTTACAACACAAAAGCGGGAATATGATGTAATAAAAGAAGATTTGAATCATAGTTATAAGTTTGTTTGGAATGAAGAAAAATCGGATGAGTTTAGACAAAATATGTTCTCAGTATTCACAAACTCGTAGATATTGATTATCATTCTTTTTTCAAAATATTTGATACAAAAATCCTTCCTATTCTATTGTATGGTTCAGAGGTATGGGGTTTCAATAATTTTGACGTAACTGAGAAAATACATTTATATACTTGCAAGAATTTTTTAGGAGTGAAAGTAAGTACCATCTTATGCCATCTGATAGATACCCTAGACAGTGTTGTGATATGATGTTAATGTACGATAGCAACGGGAAGGCTAACTGGGTGACTAACATTCGAGAATTGTTAAATACAATAGGTTTTGGGGAGGTATGGCAAAGGCAAAATGTTGACTTTCATACAAATTTTGTGAATAATGTTACTCAAAGGCTCAAATATATATATACACAAGAATGGGTAGGAGTACTGTCATTGTCAAGTAAATGTTTCTATTATAGAATGTTTAAATCCCATATATACAGAGAGAATTATCTGCTCTCACTGAATATCAAGAAATTTCGAAAGGCTTTTGCTCGGTTTAGGTGTTCCTCACATGACTTGGCAATCGAAACAGGGAAATATCATAAAATAGAGAGGGAAAATAGAATTTGTACATTTTGTGATCTTAATTGTGTAGAAGATGAATGTCACTTCGTCTTAATTTGCCTATTATATTGTGAGTTAAGAAAAACAAATGTCCCAAGATATTATTCTGTATATCCCGATAGGGTGAAATTTTCTTTGTTAATGAGTACTGATGACAATGTTCTTATCCGTAAGTTGTCAACCTTTATCTATCAGGCATTGTCTCTAAGAAATAAACATAATAATTCATAGAATGTATGTACTCATATTGTTATTTGCTACGATATGGTATGATGTGATATGATACATGATATGATATGACATGATGTCATGTGATACGACAAAGTATGTGTAATGCGATGTTATATGATGTGATACATTTTGATGCGATATGACATATTGTGATTTGACTATTTTTTATTCTTTTCTATGATATTGTGTACTATGTTCTTGTATACTATGGGCCTGTGGCCTTCAGTATGAATAAAAATTGATTGATTGAAATACTTTTTTGTAGTGTGAGTGAGTATTGTAGCCTACTACGCCGCATTTAGCAGAACTCCATCAATATCACGGTAGGGTACACTTGAAATGAACTTCACACATTATATCTATGTGGAGAATCGAACCTGGGTCTTCGGCATGACGAACAAACGCTTTAACCACTAGGCTACCCATCGCTCCTGCATGTGTATTCTATTCAGACAAATACAGCTTAAACTTAGGCTCTAATCACGTGTTACTCGTTGGCGCATCTCCGAAGATAACAGAGAGACGCCCAGCATGCATGTTTTCCCATATACACCCTCAGCAGGTCGACAGCAGAATAAGTGACATGTACAGACTATCATAAACCATATGACTTTCATGGTTTTTTTTTTGGCAATCCCAATACACGCAAACATGCATTTCGTACGGTCAGACTATTGTTTAAAACGATGCAATGATAACAGACGCTTTAACCATGATGGAATGAGACTAGTGCATGTGTGTTAGTGGGTCAGATTCAGTAAACAATTTGAAAAATACAATCAACAACTTGTGGCACACGATGTCACGGGATCGAGGACCATAAAGAAATGTACGCATGATATCTTCGTTTCCGTTAGAGGGGTACAACCGTCGGGCAAATAGGCACTCCACGTAAATATCATATATTGCGTATAATTCTGCAACAGCACGTGAATGTTATTTGTCTAATTTGTATAGAAAACATGTCTCAAGTTCGCACAAAATACGAACTGTATATACTAGCAAGGTCCTTCACTAAAAATGTCTATCCAAAGTGAGTTTAGTTAGAGAGAAATAGGCTTCGCCCTCTGATCATGTGGGATACGAACCCGGACTTTCGGCAGCCCTTGTCGAGCGAACACTATAACCAAGAGGCTACCTCACCACACCGCACAACATACATACAGGCATGTATGTTCCAGCATCGGAGTTGCGACGCTCGTGCCGCTAATGTCCCTCTGTGAAATGCGATATAACAATGCCACTCCATATATTGACAATTTCTCAAAGATCGAGCTATCGTCTCAGGGTCAATAGAACAAACGTTAAGAGTAAACCAAATATTTTGCGTCATCAATACCCGAAACAAGCTCTCACATACAGGAGTGCATACACAAGCCATTCGTGTACCTAAAATGTATTTCTACGACCAAAATCACAATTACAGTATATGTATATACCTGTTGTGAAATATTCTGATTGTAAGTGGACTACGTTTTCATCTTGACATTACATGGAAACCCGTGATATAAACAGACCTATTCCCTGTGGAGTGCCTGTTATCACTCAAGTCAACGTGCCCGTGTATAATGCAGTAAGCTCAGCATAAGAGTGCTCCATTTGTGCATTATTCATGGTTTTACTTTAGGAGGTATTACGTCACAATGACCTCATATCTACTACCGTGACAGTGGCTTGCTGTTCAGACTGTAGTAGCGTATGTAAATAATAAATGCACATTTGTACAGGAGTTTCAATCAGAGTTCAGGAAACAATAGAGTTGTTCTGATGTTATATATTATTATTCCAGGAGAAACAAATAACAGCTGTAAGGCGATTGGCGCGCAATGTTATAGCGACCTGATGTATGAGAACAGAGTGACACGTTGACACCCAAAGCCGGGACAGTCTGATAAATTATATGAATGAGCAATAACTCGAAATTTACTATTTTCTACATGCAAAAAATGAAAACGAAGAATGACCACAATTTCACGTTTCTACTTTACAGGGCTACATTATCCACGTTTTATAGTTTCGAGAGCACATCACATCACATCACATCCTATCATGTGCGTTTGTTTGAGAATATTTCAAACGAAAGCGTCATTTAAGGACACGTTAGCACATTCTGTATTAATGGAGGCCAGCTGGTTTTCGAGCTGGGTAATTCTTTCCTTCAAGTAAAAGTTCTCGTACTCCAATTCCAGTGCTCTCTTGTAGAAATTCCGTTCCCTCTCTTTCTTTGTCTCTCGAGAACGACGGGCAGAGTCATTGTTTTTTATACGTTTTGACCAGTAACACCCATCTTTATCCTCAGTCGCTGTTCTGCACTTCTTCCGTTTCCGGATTATCCCCCTTGGTTTGAAGCCCGCAATTGTGACGCCGTTGCTGATCATTTCGTCAACGTTGATTTGGTTGTTGGACGTTGGGGGGTCAATCTGAAGTTTGGAAAACACACCCTTTGTGACGATCCTGCACGGATCAAAGTCTAGGGCGTGC